CTTTACAATAAGTATACTGGGCGAATATCACTTATTATGATATCTGTACATGAGAAGGACGAGTAGTGATTATTTACTATAAGTATACAGGCGGGAAATATCACTTAGTATGATCTATACATGAGAAGGACAGTAGTGATTCTTTACAGTAAGTATACAGGCGAGCAATATCACTTAGTATGATCTCTACATGAGAAGGACAGTACTGATTCTTTACAATAAGGCGAGCAATATCACTTAGTATTATCTCTACATGAGAAGGACAGTACTGATTCTTTACAATAAGTATACAAGCGAGCAATATCACTTATTATGATCTGTACATGAGAAGGATAGTAATGATTATTTACAATAAGTATATAGGCGGACAATGTCACTTAGTATGATCTGTGCATGAGAAAGACAGTACTGATTCTTTACAATAAGTATACAGGCGAGCAATATCACTTATTATGATCTCTACATGAGAAGGACAGTAGTGATTATTTACAATAAATATATAGGCGGGCAATGTCACTTAGTATGATCTGTACATGAGAATGACAGTAGTGATTATTTACAATAAGTATATTGGCGGGCAATATCACTTATTATGATCTGTAAATTACAACCACAAAAAAGAAAACCAAACAAAAAATGTGATGACATTTTTCAGTTGCATACTCCTTGGGCAGTTTTAGCTAAGGCTAAAAAAATGTGAGTGCTTTGGTTATTATCATTATTATTAAGCTATACGGTTAATATTGCTAGAATGATTATACGCTACACGATTAGAGTTGTAGAAGATGGGTTAATATAATGTATTGTGTAATTAATTTATGCATTGCAGAAAGAAAAAGGAGAAAAATACAAAACTTTAAAGTTGTACTTTTAATTACACATTGTGTCGTTATTCAACGCATATTGGATTGTAGTTATAAATTAAAAGATATGTTTAACTAGAATCGGTATTAAAGGAGTAAAATCAATAAACATAATATAATAATATAAACATAATATAAACATATTACTTATGTAAAAGATTACTTATATTTTTTCCTCTTTATGATAGTCCACACCTTGATAAAAAAATCTATTTAATATTCAGTTTGGTAAGTTTCTGGTGGTTTTTTTTTGTAATTTAGCATAAGCATTCAGTCATATTTCCAAGTTTAAAATCGATATGATTTTACGGCAGATTTGGAATCCAATTTATTTTGTTTTTATTATTCTATTTTAAATGCACACACACACACATATAATTGCTTTTTCAAAACTTTGACCAAATTTATTATTAATCTTAATTATAGGGAAAAAGCTGACATTTTCCCGCTTTTAGACGTGGAGGATATGGTTCTGATGAAGAAACCAGACTGGAAATGTGTATTTACTTATGTTCAGAGTTTGTACCGACATCTCCGAGACCGTGACTAGAAAAAAATAAATATAAGGAAAATCAGCACATTTATTATTTGTTTAATTATATGTGGGTGTAAATAAACTGTTCGCATACAAGTTAACTGTACAGAAAAAATTGCACCAAACTAACTATACTAAAATGGGTCTTTGTGCTTGCGTGTCGTTAGGGGTTCTTTTTTTGAAAAGTGATATTTAATGTATGTACATTTCTAGCTTTTGTACACAAATATTAATATAACATTAATATTATTTATAGATTTATATTGAGATAAACAATAAATTATGAGTGATTTAATACTTTCCACGATAAACATTGAATCACGGAATCTGTTTCAACGTTCATATATATATTACTTTTTGAAATGACTGTCATTCACTGAAAACGTTATTATCATTAATGCATATTCAAATTGTGGTAAGTTTTCCTTTCTTTACTGTTCGATGTTTATTTTGGAAAACTGTCAGCATTTTTAATATTTTAAAATCTCTACCCATGTTCTGACATACCAAATGTCTAAAAATGAAGTTACATTCATAGTTTAAACTATTTATAAGACGTACCTTAGTTATACGGAACTAAGATCAAACTAGGCATGTCAGACTTGTGTATATAATAAAAATAATTTTTGTATCTTGTTTGCTTAGGTTTTAGAGAAAATAACAAAACCGCTTTGCATAATTTTACCACATTAATATATAATGATGAATAAAGTCTACATTTTAGACCTATTTAGACGGTGTTTAATGATCTTCTTATTAGAATTAATATCATAGTTAGTGATTCTTCCTCCTCGTACAGCTGGTACGGGATTCTTCTGGAAGCAAAATAGAAAAACAAGCCCGTTCATCTTTATGAGATGAGTATTTACGAAGGTCTTACTTAATAATTAAGTTGGTAGTTCAAATGTCGTTACTGCTATAGAATATTAAACAAATGTTCGTGGATAAAGAGCACATGAACTTCTTGATTTAGGTTTTCATCTACAAGTATGGTCTTTCTATGCTGTAGAATTATTCTTTCCTTTATTTGAAACAAGAGGGAATCCTCAATAGCCGCGGCACTTGAAATTCTTTTAGGCAGGACTAGAATGAATTAATCTTTGAGAAATTTTTTCCTTTTTATCAACTATATTTTTGTGCGCCAGCAATACAAAGAGTGGGGAGCGCGTATACCTGATTCAATTTTATTACTCATCAGGACCTCTACCAGCTGGTATACTCTCAAATTAAAATTCTTTCAGGCAGGATTAGAGTACATTAATCTATGAGATCTTGGGCGTGGTAAAATACATCAATCGAAAGTGTTTGACCCCCTGAATCCAAAACTGTAATCATATCTCAAATCGGTCAAGAGATGATGGAGCTATGATCTAAAATTGAATTTTGCTGTTTCATGTTGTACAAATTAATGTTGTTTTCTTTAGTGATCAGACGTCTTACATACTTTCATGCCCCTCAGTGGCACAGCGATATATCCGCGGACTTACAACGTTAGAAACCGGGTTTCGATACCCGTGGTGAGCAGAGCACAGATATCCCAATGTGTAACTTTATGCTTAACTTCAAACAAACAAAACATACTCTCATGTAATTATCACAAAAATTCAAGCAATAGAAGTCATATCGGTTTTGTTCCTTCACAATGAAATTGAAGATAAAGTTTATTCATACGGCTCTCACTTAAGTGTAATCATAGAAAATATATGATTACTTTTTATTAGTTTTATGTTGTATGTGACTTTTTATAATACAGCCAATAATTATGTTAAGGGAACTTGCATGAAAATCCGACTTCCGTATGTTTGTGATTGAATTATTTGAAGCATATGTATATTTCTCTTACATATATTTCTTTCTTTGAAACTTCGACCAAACTGATTATTGATGTGAATTGTAGGAAAAAAGTATACATTGCACAATTTTGTATTCTGTCGAAAACTTAACATAGTTAAGTGAAAGTCTAATGAAAAATATACTTATAAATAATATATATATATGTTTTAAAGAAATTTAGTTATGAATATAATTTAAATTTTCAGATAATACTATTAAAGGCAGAGTTCATTTTATTACAGGATTTTGTTTGATTGTACAAAGTTAAGAAAAGTTTTAACCATAAAAACATTACATGATGTTTCATAGATATACATTTTATCAAAGTATTTTAAGTGTAAGTTTTCTTTTTCATCTTCACATTATGTATCCTGAAATGTGCCAGTACTATATTTTAATACTCTCCTAGACGGTATAGAACACTAATTGAGATATTTTTTTATATTTATTAATCATCAATTATCCTGATTTTCTTTGCTTTTGGTAATCATATCTAAGAGAAAAAAGCGAGAAATTTTAAAAGTTCGAACAGTAATAATATTTATAATATTTTCATATTTTTTTAATAAATAAATATTATGCAGTAA